AACTTTTTCCTATTTGGAGAAATATTTTTAAAGAGGAAAATATATGTGCTTAAAGCATTTTGAAATGATTGGAAAAGCAGTCATACTAACACACTGATGAGCCTGTAGTATATGCAAGTTGGTTGTGCTCCATATTGCATTGGCAAACTAGGCATGTTGCAGAACTTAGATTTTCCTGCTTGAGAAACAGAACAGTATTTGCAAATAAATCGGAACTTATTGGTATGAAAACATAATGCAGCTGCTGATTCTCTTAAATAAACCTGGGGCACCAACTGTGCTTGTGCTGGATAATTATGTACCCTGTATCGTCTTTCAACTCAATCAGTTTTGTTCTTGTAAGAAGAGAAATACTGGAACACAAATATGATATTCTTGTTTCACAAGTACTGGGGAATAAGATCATTTTAAAAGATAAATCTGAGCCTATTTTCAAAGTAGCCTGATTTCAAATTAGGTGGAATAAAAATACAAGTACCAAGGAATAAGATCATTTTGAAAGAAAAACTGAGCCTGTTTTCAAGGTAGCCTGTTTCAAAGTACGTAGAATAAAAACAAAATATATAAACTGCATTGTACATAAATAAGAAATTAAATACCTACTGATAGCACATTAAATAGTATAGTTAGCTAATGCCTTGATATGTAGATCTAGAAGGCCATGGAATTAGAACAACTAGAATAATGCTCGAAATGACAATAAGATGTAATTTTCACTCTCATGATTCAAATGTAAATTCTCAATAACCTCAACTGTTATGCTCTTCTTAGGAAGTTATTTAACTTAGCTTAGTATATATTATTAATTGACTTCAGTTTACTGTTACAGTAGTATTCTTTACATTTTCCTTAAAAATGTTCTTTTTAATCTTGTGCAAACCTCACAAGGTATAAGGTGAGGTGGATAGGCAGGCAATTTCTTATCAATAAAGAAATGAAGCACAGAGAGACTGCCTGAGGTCATCTCTTCATGTGAAGACAAATCTAGTGGTGACATTCACATATCTGTGGATCATTTATTATTAGGTGTTCCTTGTAAATCTGGAAATACCAACAAGTAACTATTTGTGGTATATGTAACTTTCCACTGAATTATTTTTCATACAGTAAATTCAAGTGATGTACATCACTTGGTACCAAAGAAAGACAGAAAATTTACTAGTTGTTTCATTTATTAAATTTAGAAAAGCACTACAAAGTAATAGGAAATAAATACATAAAAAATTCTTATCAGGTCATAGGCTGAATTCCAGTATTTAGCTATCATTTTTATAGAAAAGAGAAGAGGAAATTAAACAAACTAGATAATTAGTATGCTACTTTTAAAAAACTGACAAAAATGTTCTCATATGTCAAATATTCTTTGGATTTGTACATTTGTATATTCTAATTAAATGTAAATTATATGCACTTATTGGAAATAGACTCTTTGCTCTAGTAATTATTTTTAATTGCCATTTTACTTGAATTTTGAATTGGAATTTGTTACTAGTTTGGGTTGACTATTTTCTTGTTTCTTTCCTATTCACTAGGCTACAATGCCTACCACTTGCAACTAAAAGGAGAAGAGGTTCATTGTGGCTCATGGTTTCAGTCCATACATGGCCGGCTTAATCACAGAAATAGCATGGTGTAAGCATGCCTAGGTGGTCAAGAAGCAGAGAGAAAAGGGAGAGCCTGGGAGGGAAGTATACCCTTCCAAATCACAAACTCAGTAGTCTCCTGACAAGACTCTACCTTCTAAGGGCAAGTCAGCTATATTGCCCAAATGGTCTAATCCTCTTCCAAATGCCGTGCCTTTGTGTGCACAAGAGACCTTTGGGAATATTCATGATAGAAATTATGATATTCTACCCTGGACATCAAATGACTCAAGTGCATCTCTTTCTGCACACTAGATTCAGTCATCTCTAAGATGAACTGCTGAAAATTCCATGTCCAACATGTCTTCACACTCTAAGCAAACTCTTTGTTGTGACTTGCTGAAAATCAAGAAGAAACTCAAACTTTGCCAATATCCCATGGCAAAAAGGAGGAATAGCAGTGTAGAAACCAATGGGACCAAAACAAGGCCATGAGTCAACTGGGAAATCATTAAATTTTGTATCTCTGCATCCAGCATCCAGTGAAAATGATAACATGTGAGCTCCAGTTTGGTTAGTTCTACACCTATGACATTGGTGGTTACAGTTCTTATTACCACTCCTTTATGTTAACTTTGCTCATGTATGTGGCCTTCCTTGGCAGATGTTTCACATTCTTAGCTTCTCCAGTATCCTAGTGTCTTCAGTGAATTTTGGCTTTACTTGTACACAGTTTTGCACTGCCATCTTGTGGGCACACTCCCCAACTTCCCACGCCTTCTAAAATCTGGGTGGGAGCCTCACTGAACTCACATGTCTGAAAAGCTAGTACCACATGACTGACACCAACGTCTGCCATTAGTTGAAGCATTATCTAGGGCCCCTAGGATCATGGATGCAGAGGCCTTCAAACACCTGCATTGCTGAGCAATATGAATGAAATCCCCGCATACCAGTTCCCTTTGTGACCCTTCTTAAGCAGGGTATACCCCAATATTCTCTTCTCAAAGCAAAGTCTTTCCTTTTTTGTACCTTTTAGTTTAGGAAGGATGAGTCTTGAAGATTCTAGGGATGCATTTATGGCATCCTTCCTATCATTTTGATGTTAAATACTTGGCTTCTTTTTTACTGCTCATATTCTTGAAGCCAACTTTTTCTTTGCCAAAACTTTTCAGGTTCCAACTTTAGAGTAGCTTCCTTTCTGGTGAACATGAAAACATTTAAATCATTCTGTGATATTTGCTCTTGATTTTAAATACTTGCTCTTGATTTTAAATACTTGCTCTTGATTTTAAATACTTTGCTCTTGATTTTAAATACTTTGATTTTAAATCTTGATAGCTGCCATTTATACTCATTCTATAGCCATTGAACTGCCTTGAAATTTTCTCTATCAGATGAATTAGTCCACTGCCCTTATAATCCCTTGCAAAGTCTTGAGATAGCAAAATATAGACATGTTTTTGCAAGAGTATAATACACCTGGTTTTGAGTCCAGCTATCAACTGAGTTCTTGTTCTTGACTAAAACCTTTTGAGCCTGGCCTTTATTGTTGAATTTTGATCAGCATCCTAGGCTTTTGAGAACTAACCAACATCTCCCATCAAGCTTAGCTTACAGCATTCTAGAGTTTCTCTAGCTTACATCTCCAAACTTCTCCAGACTCTTGCAAACCCCTTCCAAAAGTCTTCTAAACTACACAGTAAATTATACTCATAGTAATAGCATCTCTCTTTCTCTCTCTCTCTCTCTCTCTCTTTTTTTTTTTTTTTTGTACCAGAAATTGAGCTCACGAGTGTGCACTTGCAAGGCAGGTGCTTATGCTGCTAAACTAAATCCCCAACAAGTAATAGTATCTCTTCTGGTAGTTATACTCTTTGCTGAGACACAATTCCTGATACCAGCGATTTAAAGGAGGAGAGGTTTATTATAGCTCAGAGTTTTAGAAGTTTCAATCTTACACCCAGAATCAGTGTGGTAGAAGAATCTGACTATGGGAAACTTATTCACGTCATGTCAGGGAAGAGGTAGAGTGAGAAGGTTGAAGCTAGGAAGGGTGATATGCTCTCCAAAGTCATGCCCCCAGTGTGCCATCTCTTTTGACCACACCCCATTTCCTAACAGCAAATGAGCTGTAGTGTCTCTCATGGTCCAGTCCTCTTCCAAAAATCTCACCACTGAGTGTGTAAGTTCATTACAGGACATTTTAAAAACAAAGCACAACACTTATAAAAGGCAGGGTTTCTACTGGATTATGATACCAATCAGCTGACATTAAAGAACTTTTGCCTTAGCAAATTATACTTTGTATATCATTTTTATACAAACATTTATAAAGTATTTCAAATGTCTTTGTATTTGATAGTCTTTAAGCCAAATATATCTGTTAGAAATGTCACTGGTTTAGATAAATTATTTGTACTTTAGTTGATCATATTTTAAATGTAGCAAATGATATCAAATTGTTTATGGTCTGATTTATTTACTGTGTCCGTAGAATCTAGTGAAGCATGTGGTTATTGGTCAAAATATTATAAATTAAAATATATGTATGATATTAATTCTGTATTTACCTTGAATATCTCAAAAATTGCAAACATATCTTTGTTATGCTGTATGGAATTCTTCCTGAGGTTACTGAAGTCAACTTTTTTTTTTTTGTTGTTTTTCCTCTGATAAATTGTTGGATACAGGATATATGGTCTAAGACACACATCTAGTATGAATTTCTTCTGTGCGTACCAGATGAGATTTTTCAATCAAAGTAAATATTCATGTATTTTTTGTCACTCCTCTAGTTTAGAATTCCTGTATTTCAGAATCAGAGAATCTTTTTTTTTGTTTTCTATTTTAACTATTTTTTTTTCCGTAAGATGCTTTATAAGTATGATGATGTTTAATCTTCAAAGCAAATTTTTAGGTTTGATTTTGTTATCCTCACTTCACAGATGAGAAAGCTGAGGCTTAGGAAGTCTCTCGTGCTATGTGGTAAAAAGGCCTAAACCTGCCTGTGCTAAAGACCAAGGCTTCACCACATTAGTAACTTGCATTCTAGGAGGATTTCTCTTTCAGTAATGTCACTTAGCTAGAAGAATTCTATCGGGGTATATTTACAACTATTGTATTCAACACATGGTGTTATGTAGAATGATATAATAGGATTTAAGGTAAAGACAATACAATTTAAAGAAATGAAATATTGGTCAAACCCTAGCAGAGTGGTGACATTTCATATAAAAGATTAGAATCTTCATTTGAGTTTTTAGTTTGAATTTGAGAATCTGAATGCTGTCATGTGTTTTGTGTTGTATCTCCTATACGCAAATAAAGCAATCAGTTATCCAACCAACAAATCAACAAAAACTTGTACAATAATAGCATTTTTCTTTCTTTCTTTCTTTCTTTTTTTTAATACAGTGGGATGCCTCCTGCTTTTATCCTGGAGTTCATCTCTGTGAATTGAATTTATCACAGTAGCATTTGTCTTCAATTTGTGTGTTAACTAGAAACCGAGAAAAGACATGAGGAGATTTGTTTACTGCAAGGTGGTTCTGGCCACTTCGCTTATGTGGGTTCTCGTGGATGTCTTCCTACTGCTGTACTTCAGTGAGTGTAACAAGTGCGATGACAAGAAGGAGCGGTCCCTTCTACCTGCCCTGAGGGGTAAGTATGTAAGAAGCAAGGAGACACGCCTGATAAAACATGAAATGCTAAAGTTAAACGTCTCTTTTGCCTTTTTGAATTAGACCAGCATTTTTGCAAAACTATTAAAGCACACTTAACCACAGCAAGCTACTTTTCTTGGCCTTAGGAGAAATGAGCAGAGTTAGCTAATCTTTAAGACACCTTCAATCCTAATCAGTCTAATGTTCTGATATTGTATTAAGAAAAAAGAGATTCTTTAAATTTTATCTTTACTAATTCAGGTTTGAAATGCCTGCTGAGTACATTCATTGTGCAGAGGTGGTACATGTACAAATTGTATCTTAATTCTTTTCTCAAACCCTTATGTTCATTGGATTGGACAGAATTTAAAATCTGGGTTGGCAGAATCTAAAAGTGTTTAGAGACCAACCACATAACATGAAAGGGAAAAACTACTAAGCTAAGACAAGTGTATTTAGCAAACTAAAACAGCATATGATACTCATATAGATTCCCAAAATGGCTTAAAAAGTTTCTTTTTTTGTACTGGGAACCAAAATCTGGACCTTGTGCTTGCCACGCAGGCAGTGTGCTACTGTGTTATAGCCCCAGCCCTAAAAAATTAGTTCTTAAAACCAAACACATTCATACCTAGGTTCATCCTGTGTGCCAGTAGATTGCCAGGATTATATTAAGAGCCAAACATAATTTCAAATATATTATGAAATCATGTTAGCTCATTAATTTTTTCAAAGAAACCCTTTCAATGATAATATTTGTTTCTAGAGAAACATAAAATTGTTATAAATTATGATTTACCAGGTAAAGGGATACAAATTCATTTTCTGCAAAACAATTTCCAAAATTTTCTTTATCTTTCCTTTTGTTGACCTCAAGATTTATAAATACTTTTTTTTTTTATAAATGAATATTTCTGACATGCTTGAAAGGGGTCAAGATTAGTTTTGTTCTCATTAAACTAATATGTATTTTCTTCTTAATAAAAGTTTTCTGCATAAATATAACAAAAGATAAACTTTAACTGAGCTGCAGTCGAAGTCTTTGAAGTGTTTGGAAAAGTTAATGTAAAATATTGGTAAGTGAAAGATTCCAGATCCATTTAGATAGTTTATATGCATTTGTACACCTTTGTTCTACAATTTTTCAGAGAAGAGAACTTTATGAGTTCCTTAGTTTTTGATAAATGAACATGGGATTGATTTGCTGATCTTTAGTTCAAGTGCCGGAATAAATCAGCTTTCTCTGCTTCTTTGCTGCAGTCAGTTGAGCTGCTGCTTGATTGAAAGTGGAAATATGTTTTGATGGATCATGTAAGTTTGGAATGACCACTTTGTCATCTGTTGAACGAATACATCTAGACTGGTCCCAAAAAAATACAACCTGAATCAGCAAAACTAAGACAGCCTTTTCTGCAAGTACCAGAAAAGTACAGTTTTGATTTAGTGAGTCTGTGTTTGAGACTGTGATGCTCAGTCTTCAGTCTCAAAATGTGAAATTTAATGATGCAAGACTAATATATTTTCCTTGGGCTTAAATTGTAAAATTAAACTCTTATCTTTATTTGCAAATCTTACTGTCTTGAGTCAGTTTATACTTCTAATGATATACTATAGCCTGGTTGACTTATTTACAACAAAAGCATGTTTTCCACAGTTTTGGATGCTGGCATGTCCAAGATGAAAGCAGGATTAGAGCAGTGTCTGGGAAGGGCTTGTTCCTCATGAAAACCCGTGAAACCGTCATACTAACTTCTTGTGGCTGATTAGTTGAGGCCATCTCTCTGTAGCATATTTATAAGGGTATCAATCTTATTCACGAGGATTCTACCCTCACGACTTAATCACCACCCAAAACTCTACCTCCAGATGAATTTGAAGGAGAAACAGTTCTTTGACTTTAATGTTGTACTAATGTATCATTAGTCATAGAACAGAAAGTAGACTTGAGTATTAAATTTTATTTTCTATTATTTCAGAAAGGTACTTAGGAATTTTTAGTATATACTTAAAATTTTATTTACGAGTAGATTATACTATAGAAAGTACTCTTGATGGTCATATTTATTTTAAATCTGAAAAAACTTTTTGATTTTTTAAAAAAAAATGAACTTTCAAGTTTGGGCTACATGGTTCCTAAGTTCCCTTATCTTATATTTCTAAACTTAGTATATGATTATTCAGTACTCAATATTACCATATGTATGGATTTTTGAGATACTTTAATTTATTTGCTTTTCATTATTTATTATGTACTAAGTCTGGAGGATATAGATAACTAAAGTCTCTGAGGTTCTGCTATTGAGGGTACAAGGGAAGTAAGTTCCTGTCTGTCACAGAGTTTATAGTTAACAATAAAATATTTCTTTCTCTCTGTCTCTGTTTCCCTGTCTCTTTCTCTCTCTCTCTTTTCTTTCTCCAAATACATACCCACTCATACATCACTTAATGATGGAGCTGTGCTCTGGGAAATGTTCTTTTAGGCTGTTTTGTCCTTGTGTTGGATATGATAGACTGTGCTTACACAAACTAAAAGTCAAGTGGACTTATTAGATGATATAATCTGATGGGAGCATCATTGAGAATGACCTTCATTCTTGATAGATATTTATGTAAAATACATAAATTCAATAAAAGTAAAGTCAGTCAGAAATGATTTCAAAGATTATAGATATTAGGATCAGGATCAAGGATATGTTAAGTAGGGCAAACTAGATCTAGAGTATTAGACAGACCATCACCCAATGCGTGGTATTTAGTTGAGGACTTCACCACAGTTGTAACAGCTAAAGAAGAAAATTTTTCTGGAATAGTTAGATTACCCCAGGATACCTCCAAAGGAGAAAACACAAAGTAGGAATGTGACTACTTAATTCATGTTTTAAAATTGAGATTAAGATTGTAGCGCTGATGCAAAGAGGCATAGGAGAGAAAATTGTCCAAAGAGAGTTAGACCTCACACATAGGTGTTTGCAATATGCATTATATCACAGAACAGGTACAGCAGATCAGTGGGAAAGGGGCTGTGAAATTAATGAAAAGTGATAATAAAATGTTTTTTACATGTGGGAAAATAGAATGCTTTATTTTATCAATAGCTAATGCAAACTTTGAATGTATTACAGACTGAAATATGAAAAACATCAAAATGTTAGTTGGAAACATTGGATCACTGGAAGGTCTTGGAAAAAGGAAAAAGTCTTGAGCAAAACATAAAGTATATTGTCTGTAAAAGAAAATATTGATTAATTTAAAATTGAAAAATTTGTTTTATTTAAATATGCCTTCAAATAAAGAAAAGTGACAAGTTGTGGAAGATATCAAAGAACACACAGCTGCAAAATGGTTAGAAGTATATATAACTAATGATCATATAATTAATTATATATGTAATTTTCTCATTATTAATGTAATAAAATCTAAATAATTCAATAGAAAACATGAGAAATAGATCTGAGTGGATGCTTAATAGAAAGAGAAGCACATGTAGCAAATGAATTTATGAAAAAATAAATGAATTGTATTATAATTAGGGATAAGCATCAAGACTTTAATAGCATATCCACAAATAAAAACCTGATATTAGCAATTGTTAGTTTTGACATATTATATTTTTATGACAATTTAAAGTAAAAATTTAAGCTTTCCTGAAACTTAAGCATTTGTGTATGACTTAGCCCTCAAAGTTATATATCCACAGAAATTTATTCTACATGTACAAGTATGTTTATTTCATTGATATTCATAAAAATAAAATTTAAAGTAACCTGTGGACTCACCAGTTGAGAAACTGGTGAAGGGATATTGGTACATCAATACAAGAACATATAGATGTAAAAATAAATGAACTGGAGATACTTTGACCAACATGTGTGAATTTTGACAATGCTATAGCAAGTATAAAAGCTGTGTCTTTCAAAGTATATGTATAACATAATACTACCTGAGAAGAAAAATAACTAAAATTTTAAAATTCCATTGTAAGACAATATATACAAGACCTCACAAACAAACCTAGTTAGCTAATTATGAATATGGGACTGATGATATTGCCTGTGAAAGCAGCATGAGAATGAGTACGTGGGTTTTCACTGGATGGAAGCATTACTGGAGTTCTAGATTTGTTTTGAATATGGGTTTGATGTGAGCTACTGAATGAGGAAGAACCACTGAAAGGTTTTAAAAAGAGAGGAAACCATTGATTGGGTTTAAAAGTTGAAGAAAAGTGTTTAGATTTGTGTTACGGAAGGATCACTGTGGATAAAGTGTGGAGAATGTGCTGGAAAAGCACTTCTGTCCTTGTGCTGGGAGAGGGCTGTACAGAAGACGTGGATTCTGCATGGGAAGTGACACCTGTTCATAGCAGAATAGTGGCAGTGAGGTGTGGCAGGAGTAGGGAAAGTCGAGGCATTTACAATGCAAGAGTAAAGCCTGGATGCTGGAGAGGATTTGGCAGCATAAGAGATGGAAATGTCAAGAAAAAGTCCTGAGTTTCTTGTAGGACACTATATGATCCCGTTTTTGAAAAGAGAGCTCAGTGTAGATTACTTGAGAATGCACATTAAATTTACATTGGGCATGTTGAATTGGAGACCCCTGTTATGCTACCAAAGGCAATTACTTGTAGGGAGTTGGCTATATTATTAAACTCTGATTATCAAACTTAAAAAGTAGTTATTTTTGTGATCATTTTTCAAGAATGGATTTTATTTTTATCTTCAGTTTTACACAGAGAAGGTGGACTATAATGGAATCTTTGTTACTGAGTCAGCATTATCATTTTGCACATTAACTATTGAATGATGCTAGAAAAAGAGATGATTTCAGAGACTTTATTGGTGCATATAGTTCAAACTGCATTCCAGTATGATGCAGACCCATGTAGACTTATTTCTTTATTTTGCTTTCTAAAGGACTGTTTTTTGGTAATGTAAATACTTGTTAGGGGAAGGGAGCTTATCATGCTCTGTCGTGCCATCTTGGTGTCTCCCAGAACTAATA